TTTTTTTGTAAAACAAGAAAAAATTTAACACAAAAAGACGTAAAAAATTTGCTAACCAAATTGAGTAATGGAATCCATATATTAGTACCATCAGTACAGTTTACTTCATCATACATTATGCTATATTGTAATCCAAGGCAAAAGCAGAATATTCCGACGATAAATAATGTTGTAGCCAAGAAAAAATGGCCATAAATTAATCGGGTAAATATTGCCCATGGCTTTGTGGGAATATTTAGCAGTGAGCATGCATTAATTTTCTAATAAATAATGATAAATATTATTTATTTTGTAACAAACGTTAATAATAATTAATTTTCAAAAATTGCATTATAGACAGAAAAAAGGGTAACAAAACATTTTTTCATTTTTACTATTTCATAAATGAAGAAAAAATGGAAGAAAACTTATGTGTTTTACACTTCATTTTAACATAATACTAGTTGCATCACTTAAATATAATAAAGAAAATGTTAATCAAATGAAATCAGTTGATTTTGATATATTTTTATATCAAAAAGAAATCAAAAAAAAAAAAAAAAAATTAACGAAATTATTTACCTCATCAAGGCTAAGAGCAACATGCGTAAATTTATTATTCAAATTTTCAAACATTTTTCAATAAAATCGAATAATGTTATCATCAATTTGTTCTACATTTATCATAATTTTAACAAAAAATGTTACAAATTATCCAATGATATATTACTCTGATAACTGAAATAAATAAAATAGTATTTTTTTTTTTGAAATAAATATAATATTTTTAGGTTTTTATGTCAATTATAATTTGTTGTCTAAATTTTGAATTTTATTCCCTTTTTATGATATAATAATTAAGATAAAGCAATTTCATTTAAAGTTTTTCAAATGTGTTAAATGTCAATAAAATTACTCTAATCGTTAATTTTTTTGATAAATAATTTTTGTTGCAATTTCAATGGAAAAAAAAAAAACAAAAACAAAAGGAGATTCACAATAGAAGTTTCAATAAATTTCTTAACTTTATCTATTTCTGGTAAATTTTTTCCATTTTTACTTGAAAACTTTCGAATAAACTTATATGGTTATTTAGACTGGATATTTTAATTATACAGTTAAAGCTTTAATTATACAATCAAAAATTAACTACAAAATTACCTGTGTTAATTTTATTTAATTTACTACGAATGATTGCATAAATTTATCAGTTTTAATATTTACAAACTAATTAATTAATCAGCTCTATTATCTCTAACATTATTAATGCCCTTATATTCATAAGCTTATTAGTTTTATCCACAAACTCATTTCAAAATATATTTAAAAAAAAAATCGAAACCAAAAATTGCTTTAATGTTTTTTTGCGTTTGATAGAAAAGGAAAAAAAAATTGAAACTGAGATAGAAAGCATTGCAAAAATGCAATAATTGATAAGAAAAGAGAAATCAATTTAACTGTTTAATTTAATAATAACTGAGAATGATTCAGATGTTTTTGTTGTTGATAAAAATTTTGATACAAATATAATTAATCACAAAAATCAATTATTCTCCTATATTTTTACTCTTAAAAATATGCTTCTAATTATTATATCATCAAATTAATTAGCATTCCAAACTTCTATATCAAAAAAATAACTAATCAATTTTAAGTGAACAAAGTAACAAAAACTACATTGCATTATTCACCGGTTTTATTCTCTCACCTGAATTGCAACCTGAAAAATTCATCAGAAATATCAGCTGGAGTGCAGTCTGGAAATTTTACTGGAATATATGATTGCTCATTTTAGAACTATTCATGTTACCATTTAATCGGAATCAACACTTTAATCCATCTTAAATACGAAAACAATATTTTTAATCTGGAAAAGTAAACAGTTTGCAACAAATAAATGAAATGAATATTTTACAGTTTAAATTTTCAAATCGAACGATTTTCCTAGTTAATAAATTATCGTGGATTTTTATGTATAATAATAATAATAATTACCGCACAAACAATTTTATTTCTTATGAAAATAATTTTGTTTTTATCATTTTCCTCTTTTCTTTTCTAAGAAAACGCTAACTTTTTGTTAAAAATGAATAAATATTAGTGTTTTCTACTAGTAAATATTGCAAATAATATTCAAAAAATCAAAAAATGAAATTAAAATTAAAAAATTCTTTTTTCGTGACAAAGTATGGAACAAAAATTTTAACAAATATAAATGGAAGGATCGTGAAAATTAAGAAGTGAAAAAAAAAAAGAAGAATGAAAGCATTTTTAAATGCAAATGTAACTTTATTTTACTTTTGAGCACAATAAATAACAAAGTTAAAAAAGAATTCAAAAACAAATTGGGAAAAGTTGAAGAGAAAAGTGCAAAATAAATTTTTTCGAATTGCAAACGATTATAATATTTATATTCAATTTATTGATGAAAAAAAAAAAAAATGTCAAACTGAAGAATTTTTTGAATGCAGGAATGAAATGAAATAAAAGAAACTATCAACATGCATACCCAATTACATTACTCTGACAATTGAATAAGCTTTTATAAAAAATAAAAAAAAAAAAAAAAAAGGAAATAACTTCTCAGTTATTCAGTGATAATTTCTTCAACGATAATTTGTGTTCTATAAGTAATTTCTGTTTTCTTTGCTAGGAAGCATGATTAATATAAAAAATAAATGTAACAAAATTCTAACCTAAAAAGTAATTTCAGTGTTGTTTGAATATTAAAATACTATTTCCTACAACGAAAAAAAAGGTCCGCTAGTGTTTTTATTTAATGAAACATCAGAATATTTTAGAGAAAAGATAGAGGAAGATAATATGATACCTTTTTCAAATCAATAAGAAATAATGAAAAATTGGTTCTTTTGATTAAAAATTTAAAAGTTGAAAAAAAGGCAAATAACTGTTCTTTACTATTATGCTACAAAAGTCATAGAAAAATTGTGAAGGTTCAATTTATATGCTATTGTCAAATTTTACATTTTTTGAGTGCTGAAATTATCTGATAAATTTTAAAAGTGCAAAAGCGTCAATAGCTGCAACTATCTGCGCACACATTCATAACTAAATTTTTTAACCTTTTTTCTTCTCGTTGAATTGTAACAAAACAAAAAAATGGAAAAAATTTCAAACTAAAAATCTGGCAATAATCTTTTTCCACATTTTCTTGAAAACATTTAGAAACTAACTAATATTTTTCTTCTTATCATTATTAACTCTTTGTTTATTATAATCGTTACCATTACTATTGTTACTATCACCATTGCAATAACTAAAGATTGAATAAGGGAAAAAAGCAAAGAGAATGTTAAAAGAAAATATTAAAATTACCATTAATTATTATTAGTCACATATCAATAAAATAGACGCAGCGCTTATAGTAGTGATGGTGAATGAATAATGCTAATAACTTAACTAAAAAAAAAAAAAAAGTTGTAAGCATTTTTAATTCCAGAATTTTTCATTTTTACTAACTTAAATTTAATATATATAGCACAAATTAAGCATCCGTTTCATTAATTGGATAATTTGAAGCTTAATTAGATAAGTTTAAAATTAACAGTCATGCTAATAAATTTCATAAGCAAAATTTTGTTTCGGTTTTATTTAACAGGTTTTTTCAACAAATTTTCCCATAATTTTGCTTGATAAAATTAATTGGTTGGGAAATTTATTCTTATTGATTGGTTAGTAAAGGAAAGAGAGAAAACAAATAAAATCCAACATGGAATTTGTTGAAATAATTTTCTTAATTCTTATGAAAATGGAATTTTGAAATATTGAATGTGAATTCAAGAAATTTCAATAATGACATATTATTTGTCATAAAATATAAAAGAAAAAACAAATTGGAAGAAAAATTGCATTTAAAAAAAGGCAAGCAAAATGGAATGTTGTTGCTCAGAAAATTTTTGAAAGAAATTCATTTGCTTTCATGTTTTTAGATAAAATGAAATTGAGATGAAAATAAAGGTAGAAATAAAAATGAAATAAAAGAGAATGATGGATGAAATGAAATGGAAATGAGACAAAATGGAGAGCAAAAAAATGAAATAACTGTAAAATAGTTTTTAGCAAACTATTAAATCAAATAATGGCAAATTGGCAGTGTGTTATTTCAGATTTATTGTTTAGCACAAGGAAGTTTTTTGAGTAAAAGTTAATTTTTACAACTTGGTCATTAGGAAAAATTTTGCAACGATATAAGTGTTAATTGGTTAAATAGTTGATATTTGATGAATAGTTAACATTCTGTATTTAATTAATCCTCAATTGCTTGATAGGTAGCGAACGCCATGGTCAACTTTAACGCTTCTTAATTAGCTAATTAAGTTTAATCAATTCAATCAATGGACCAACTGGTCGATTGCTGCTGTTGGCTAACCTAACTGATAATAGCTGATAAAAACTGATTAGCTGATAGTTACCGATTGATTGCTTAATATTTATTTACTTCATAATTATTGCTTGCTGATTATTGAAACTTACTAATCAATTTGATATTGATTGATTTATTGATATTGCATTATTTCAGTATTGGTTAGTTGGGGCTCATCACTTATTTAATAGGTTATAAACAGCAAATTCATTCAATTTAACTAGCAAAATTAACTTAAATAATAGAAAATTTAAATCTAACTAACTTAAGAACTAAAACGTAAAAATTTTTAGTTAGCTACGTTTAGATGCTGTCTCTTATTCAATTCATATAATAGTAGATACAGTTCAATAATAATACATACGGATTCAATACCGTATATGAATTTTTGTTGATTCAAGCATATTTTATTTCAGAAGTTAAAGTATTTTAATTGAGAAAGAATGCTTACTTATGCTTTATGTTTGCAGTTACTATATAAACTATAAATGACAGTAACTTTATTTTATGAATTGTTTAATTTTTATATAATAATTGCATAAAATGAATTTTATCTTCGAAATGTAGTTTTGAGCAAAGCTTATTTAATCCTTTTTACGATATATTATTGTCCATTCATTGCAGGCTTGTTTTATCTTTACCTTTTTCTATTGCTTGGCTCATAATTCGATGTTTTACTCTGTGTTGTTGACAAGGATGGTATTTGAGTCGGTTTCAGTGCTGGATTTTGTGTTGACTTCGACTGTAAAGTTTGAGTCAACTTTAATTACCGATTTAGTAACCGAGTTAAGTAACTGGGATATAATAACTACGATTTCATTACCAAATTATTCAAATGATAAGTAATCAATGGTTCCAGGTTGTTTTCTGCAGATGTGTAAATAATTAATGGTTGGTTTGTTATTTTTTAATTATTGGTCACATGCAATTAAAGCAATCAAACAAAATTGTTTTGGGGGCAATTTTTAAACCACCTTTGCGATTACTGGTAGTTGTTTCTGCGGTTGCCGAGTTGAAACAGCAGGAGTTGTTGGTTGAATTTGTTTCTGAGATTGCTCAGTTGGGACAGATTGGGTTGGCTTCTGCGGTTGCAGTGTTGGAACAGTAGGAGTAGGAGCTGTTTGTACCGGTTGAACTTGTTTCTGTGGTTGCTGAGTTGGAACAACAGGAGCTGTTGGTACCGGTTGAATTTGTTTCTGAGATTGCTCAGTTGAGACAACGAGAACTCTCGGTGCCGAGTGGACTGGCTTCTGCGGTTGCAGTATTGGAACAGTAGGAGTAGGAGCTGTTTGTACTGGTTGGATTTGTTTCTGTGGTTGCTGAATTGGGACAGCAGGAGTTGTTGATACCGGTTGAATTTGTTTGTGCGGTTGCTGAATCCGGACAACAGGACCTTTTGGTACCGGTTGAATTTGCTTCTGCGTTTGCTGAGTTAGGACAGCAGCAGCTATTGGTATCTGTTGAAGTTGCTTCTGTGGTTGCTGAACGGGAGCAGCAGGAGTTATTGATACCGGTTGGATTTGTTTGTGCGGTTGCTGAATCGGGACAACAGGACCTTTTGGTACCGGTTGAATTTGCTTCTGTGATTGATGAGTTGGGACAGCAGGAGCAGTTGGTATTAGCTGGACTTGTTTCAACTGTCCTTGAACTATATCAGCAAGAGGTGCTGGTATCGGTTGAGTTGATTTCTCGATCTGTTGAACCGGAACAGCAGAAGGCGCTTGTTCAACTTTCGATGATTGCTTCTCATTCGCAAATATCTGCAACGGTTGTGGCTGCTTTTGTTCAATTTTTGGTGGTTCTAATCTTAACACTGCTGCACGTTCTATAACTTCCTGTACTGATTGTTTTGATTTTTGTGATGGTTCTTCTTTCTTCTCTTCTACTTTCATTATTGCTGCCTGATCATCAGTTCGTTCAGTTTCCGGTTGTGCTGTAATTTTCTGTTCTCTTGCAGCTTTTTTAGCTGCTAGCATAGCAGTATATTCATCGGAGAATTTTTCAGCTTTCTAGACAAAAAGTGAAGGATTAAATTAATTAATGGTTAATGTTAATATAATCATTTTGTAACAATTTTAAATTAAGTTCCACTTCTCAAACAAATTCGTTTAGTTCTACTTCAAATTTTAGTGTGTTTACTATTTCTACGTCAATTTTCTATGCTAACTATCACTAAAATGTTGCAATAAAAAAGAACGAAATGCCTCTTGTAATTCAGGTTTCGAATTGAATAATCCACATGCATCTGCATATGCAACCAAACATCGTACCACATATACAAGTTGTTCATCAGTTTGAATAGCACTCATACGCATCGCTAATTATATAAAAATAAAGATTATTTAATAAAAAATTCATGTTTTAGCTTTAAAATTAACAATAATCCGCTAATAAAAAATTGCAATTCTTTAATTTTATTTTCATCCTAATAATTTTTAAAATTGTTATTTAAAATTAAAAAAAAAAGACAAAAGTAAGCAAAACAATTTATCGATTTAAACAATTTTCTTGTTATCAATTACATGTGTGCTATAATTGATAATTCTTTTTTTCTTTCTTATGGAATATAAAAATATAAGTTTTTTGATATATAAAATGAAATATAAGTTAAAAAATAAAAATTTTTACTTTAGTATGGTTTCCTTTTTTTTTTTAAAAAAAAATTTCATCATCATTTTTAAGTGCTTTGATAAGTGAAGTTTCTTTGAAAAAATGAGTTTTTTAAATATTAAAGTATATGTAATAAAACATAATAAAAATTTGAGCTTAGAAAGATTAAGGTTGAATTTTCTATTTTGATACTAATTAATGTCACCACATACTAGATGTCTTTGGCATACTAAATGTACTTATTTCATTTGTAAAATTATTTTTGAAATTCTTGACAAAATCGTTGTGTAATTTTGTAAAATGTTAAATTTCAAAGAAGAAAGGAAGGACATACATCTTAATTTTTTAACCATATCAATAAGAAACAACGGTTTTCCGGATAGAATTTGTTGTAAACCCATTTCGATAGCAACTATGCAGCCGGTACGACCAATACCTGCTGAGCAATGAACAACCGTAGTACGATGCAGCGACTGTCGTACAATTCTTAATATCCGAAATGGAGCCAATACACTTGTTGGTACACCTTTATCAGGCCTTTAAGAATTTTTGAACTTAAGAACAAAAATCACCGTAAGTTGTAATAAAAAATTAAAAAAAAAAAAAACAATCATTCAATAATATATCATTTGATTTTTCTCTTTTTTTTGAAACTAATTTTTTCAAAAAAAAAAAAAGAGTAATTAATACCATTCTTTCCACCGTATGTGTTTGATAGTTAATCGAATATTTTTATTTTCAGCTTGTAAAGTTGATATTATAAAGGTTGTATCCTTATTATCATTAACCTCAGAACATGATACTTGTATATCTGTAAATCTATTACGATAGCTTATCTATTGTGTCAATTACGGCAATAAAATCAATTAAATAATGTACCATAACAGCTCGTTTATTACCTAATTAATCATTTCCACTTTTAATATATTTATTTATTATTTATTTACACTATTAAAAAAAATGAATGGTAAATTAAAAATATATATAAAATAATATTATTTTATGTATTATATGATTTCATATACACAAAAATGAAACTAAATAAATCAATTAATCCACTTTCCTAAAAGAATTACTTTTTTTTTTCTGCATATGCTTTCTTCTAAAAAAAATCACTCTCATACGCTCTTCTAAAGAAATTATTTGTTAAAATATCTTTAAAAAATATGAATTTAATAAGAATAGGAATGTTGCGCAATGGAAAAGTAATGACCATAAGTGGACACAATACGAAATAACTTTTGACCTTAGCTGTATTAACTGACTGTAGTAAAATAGCATTAATGGGCTATAAGATAGATCACAACCCAGAATTCATTGAAAAAATAGTTGTAATAACCATATTTTGTTCAAGAATGTTCACTATTATCTTGTCTACTACTGTCCACCACATCTTATTCACGAATATTATCATATCTTGTCCGAAAACGTTTTACTTATAAATACTTATAAATGTCCACTATGTGCTATTCTGAAGATCTTTCTCTTTTTCATCTTTGAAGAAAAAAAGATGCAAAAAAAAAATTTTTCTATCGAAATAAATAAGACGAAAAAAGGAAGATGAACTGTTCATATTTTTATCTTTTAATCTGAATAATATGCGATTAGTGCTTTTGTTCAAATTGATTTGAATGAATGAAAACGGAATTATGGTCAAAAGAAATCTATGATAATTATATATTAATTAACCTCCAAATGTAAGCGATGAGCCAACATCTTGTGGCCAGTATTGAAAGCATTTGTTTTTGCCAGCTTCAAGAATATTGCAGAGCATAATAATATTGCTTACTTTTTCTTGCATTATCATAATCCAGAAATCGTTTACTGTTATTTTCATTGGTCCCTGTATTAATTAATTATTCGTCAATTACAAATGATGCTTATTTATTCTTCAACAATAAACTTACTTTGTAATTGCACTCTGAATAAATCAGCATATATTTTGATTGAAAAAATATAAAATTAAAGAAATTCACTTTGCGAAAGTTAGGAGTAAAAATTTTCAAACATTTATCTTTTTTTTTTTTAATGCAAAAATATGTGTGTATTAATGCCAAGAAAATATTTAAAATCGATTATTAAAGGAAATTATTAATGATAAATATAAAAAAGAAAATGTTCTTTTAAATTTCGGGAAATCAATTGAAATAGCTATTGCTTTACCTGAGTACAAATGAATGAGTTCAGGAATGGATCACCTTTAACGTGGTTTGCGTGAATATAGTCAGATTCTCCCTCCTGCAATACAACACGTGTCTTATCAATGCATATCACATCTGCAAATATATTTCGTTTTGTCAATATTTTATGGTCATTTTTTCTACTACCATAATCATCAGATTATATGATAACAGTACTTTGTTTACGGCTATCATATCAATATATATTAAATTGAACTGCTCAAGGAAATTTAGAAGTACACCTATTTTATTATCACTCTAATTACAATATAAGGAAACACAATCGAATCAAATCACTTCATCTCAAACATTTAAATCAATTACCTGCATCATTTATTAATAATTATTACAACAGCTAACAATTTACAAATACATTAAGCAAAAGTGCTACTTTTAAGTGTAAATGTATGCGTGAATTAATAACTGAATGCAAATTAGCATTACAGTTAATAGTTTACTAATAGTTTTTAATAATTATTATGGTGTAGCATTCATTAATTTTTATTAATGGCATTCAGCTAATAATTTTTTCATATACAGTTTTTTTTGTAATAATTTTTAAATTTAAAAAATCAAAAAAAAAAAATGCAATAAACCCTTATAACGATTTTTTTTCATATTTTTATCGAATGCTGTATGTGACATATCTGGTGGAATGTACGTTTTTAGATCAGCTTGATATTGCTTCACAATTCCATCCACACCAAGCTCAAACATTTCCTGATAAAATTAATGTAATCATAGTTTTAAAAATTTATATAAGATTTTTGTTAAAGAATATTTACTTATCAGCATTTAGTTATATGTAATTAACAATCATCATTAGCACATATTATATTATTCTTATTGCCTTAACTATCACAAATTATCATTCGCTATTTTTCATTGGTGGTATAAATTAGGCAATTTGAATATCATCTTTAAAATTAGAACACTGATTACAGCATTTTTTTTAAATCATTTTAATGATTTAGGAATTGAAAAGTTTAAATCTGTGTCATTTCATTTAAACTTCTGTAATTACCACTTGCTATAAAATTCATTAAAAGTTTGCTTATTAACAAAAATTAATTGTTGATATCGATTACCAATAAAAAATTTGAATAATTCTCTTTTTGTTCATCAGTAACCGGAAGTTCCCTTAATTTTTTTTTCCTAGCTCTTATCGATTTTTCTTCCTGCAAATAAAAATCTCAAAATGGTTTCACAAAAAAAAAAAAGAATAACAACACAGATCATAGTTATTTATAATGCTACCCGAAAGTTACTGATATATAGAAATTACCTTGATAAATTTAAATAATTAGATATATAACACACATTAACAGTAATATGTTAAAGAAAATAATAGAGAAAATATAATAGAAAAAAAATTCAATAATATGTTAAAGAAAATTCTGAGACACTGAACTCATCTATTTAATATAAAAGCAATTGTAATAAAGAAAATAAAATTGAAATGGAAAAAGAATGAAATGATTCGATACAATAAATTATTTTTTGCTATAAGTCTTAGTGATTTTTTTTTTTTTGAAAGCATATGCTAATGTTATTTAACGTATAAAAAAAAAGGAAAATATTTTAAAACAAACCGTATTTTTCTTTTTTTCTCGTTTACTTTTACTTTCGTTTAATTTTTCTTTTTTCTTCCTCTTTCGTTCTCGTTTACTTCTCAACGAAAATGTGTTAAAAAAATCATTTTTCTCAGCTCTACTTGACTTCTCATCATTACCTTTTGCTTTTCGCCTTTCTCGTTTACTTTTTGTCTCTAGAAGAGAAACAAAAAGTTTTTGTTTTGTTTTTTTTGAAATAAAATAAAGTATTTGAGAAAATATTTTTTTTTTCTTTAGAAAAGCATTTTCTTCCCATTTCATTAGTTAAAAACAAAAATTAATGTATTTAATTACAAACTGTAAAATTATTTGAATCATTCTTGTCATCGTTTTTATTTTGCAATTTAACAATAACTGAAGAAATTAAATAAGTAAAAAGTTATGAAATTGCGAGGTTTTTTTTTTTTTTTTTAATAATTAAATTGACAAACTATCTGGTGCAGGTTCCTTTTTATTCACCGCTGCACTGCGTATCTCTTTTTGACGTAATCTCTGAAATTTCGTAGTAAAATTCTAGAAATCTCTTTTGATACACCATTTATATATTGTCATTTAAAACACAAATTCTCTCTAGAAAAAAAAAAAAAACTTACTCGAAAACTTTAATTATATTCCTTGCTTTTTATATCAAATTAGCCCAATACCAATACACATATTATTATAATCAAATTTGAGATTCAAATTAACTGATTATGTGTAATTTTAAAGAATACATCCCTACTTAGCATCAGTAATTCAATTAATGGACTGTGTTGTAATATGAACCATTTTTTGGAATTTTTCCATCATCGTTTTTCGATAATCCATTTTTGATTAATTGATGCTGCAAATACGAAATCACTGAACAAGCCTCTTTAATAATGTAAAAATGAACAAATTACATGTACTGAAATATTTTTATAGAAAAAAAATTTGCATAAATGCATGAGAAAATATAATGCACAACGCACAGAAATTTTACTAGAAAAGTGTGCTTTTTTTTTTTCGGAGATGATATAAAAATAAACAAATTTTTACCGTCAAATTCTTCCAGTTTTTTAATGCAGGTATGTATGTGAGCATACGATAAATTACTTGTTGTCATAGGTAGGTTGTCCGACTAACTCTTTAATTTACTAAAAAATTGAAACGTCAAAATTTTGCATATTTGAAAATTTTGATTGTATTTATAAAATGGCTATAAAATGGTTCAGTGGTGTATTTATAAAATGGCTATAAAATGGTTCAGTGGTGACGGTTCATTTTTGTTCAACAGCATATAAATGTAAGGTTGTGTTTCAATTATTACGAGTATGACAATATTTGCAATGAAATTAATGGTGAATCAAATTGTCTATTAGCAATTGCTAGCAGATTAGCATTCATAATGATATCACTCACCTTCAAGTTAACTATTTTAAGCAATCAATAATTTTTAACTTAGTGGAAAGTATTGTTACAAATGTTTTCAAAACAAGCGGATAAATTGAATCGAATGATGAAATTATCAGTGAGAATATATGTGTGTTAGAAATGAGAAAAAAGAAAACAAAATCTTTCAGGTCGAAAAACGTTTTAAAAATTGTCGGAATTATTTTAATTATATTTTGGTAAATCAATTAATCCCGATCTTTTTTTTTTTTTTTTTTAGTGAAATGATGCAAGCACAAAAGCAAGTTCAACAGTTCGATGAATTAATGAGAAGAACAAAAGAAAAACATAAAATGATTCATCAATTATGTATACAACAAATAAATACAGACACATCAAGAAATATCCAACCAACAGAGAAGTACTTCGTTAAATCTATTTCGAAACCAGCTTTTCTTTTTTCTTTGCTTATCCAGCAAATATTGTTATCAAATAATATATATACATAACATATAATATGAAAAGCAAAGTAATATGAAATATATGAAAATAATAAAAAATCTGGCACTAAAATAAATATAACACACTATGTTTGGTTTGAAACTAATAGAAATGACAAGATTCTAACATGTAATGCAAGCGCATTCTTACGCAATTAAAAAATAAATGAAATATATATTAAATAGTTATAGCAAAATAATTTTAATTGCATACCTGAAAGATATTCCTTTTATTTAATGTAGCATTTGAAATTGCGTATAATTTCTTCACATATTGATCTTTTTTTTTTTTAAAAAAATTTTATTAGAATATTAGATTTTTCTTTACTATAAATATTTAAAACATATTAACAACATTGTTGTAGCAAAATTGATGAATTAACGACAATATTAGTTGAACCATTCAAAACAGCAATATCAAGTACAGAAATTTGTGATTCAACAGATGCATATGGTCGAAATATGGCACGTTTACAAACATCTAGAAGCATACTTTTTGAAAGTGCTATTGAAATCAAAGAAATTGGTGAGGAAGATGACAATAATGATGATGATGATGATGATGATGATGATGAGGATAATAATAATAATAATAATAATGAGGTAAAATAGGATTAAAGTATTAATATCCAATAAACAAATCTAACAGAGAAAAAATTGTAAAAGTGATTTGTAATCGTATTATCTCCGTTATTATGATTTTCGAATTCAGATTGTTATTACTATTACTATAATCGCTTTTGATAGTTTGTTTTTTTTTTTTTTTTTTCAGGTTTTGGTTATTAAATTTGTTTTTCTATTCTATTTCATCATTGGTTTGTTTTATGCCACATTTTTAAATTAGTCTTGAAATTGAAGTTTTATATTCTATTAATTTTTATTTGTTTTCTGTCTTATTTTGTATGAAAAAAAAAATCTATTTCTTGCAGAAATAAATATCCATTATGCACAAATTTTTTTATTAATAATAAAAAGAAATAAAGATAGGTTGATAAATACTTGATTCAAAATATTACCAAAAATGTTGTTACAATTTAAAGAAGAAAGAAAAGGTGAGAAGTAATCAGAAATTATTAAAAAAGAAGATAGTATTTCAAACACGTTTTTTTTTTAACTTTCTAATTCACACATGGTTTTTTCTTTTATTCATTACTTCATTTGTCATGGTGAAAAGAAATGAATATTAATTAAAATTACGAATGAATATAATTACTACTTATCATTAATGAAAATTCAATTTTACACCTGCTTAACACAATCATTTCTTTAAATATTTCATTAAAACTATCCATGTGATGCATGTTATGCACAATTTAGTATTTGTAGAAGCAAACAGTGTAAAGAGTATTATGTATTTAACATTTGCTGTGAAACTATCATGTAAACACTGTCAAATGCATAAAAGTATGATTTATGAAAAGTTCTTGAAAGAAATAAAACAAAAAAATTGCTGTAAATTTTACATTAAATGATGCAATTTCTTATATAATTTTATCAATTGTGCTTATCATCTTATCCATGAGCAAACTTAGATTGCAAGTTCGAAAATACGAACTTTATTTGGTCTTTTGCTATCTAACCTGGGTTCAAGATGAAAAAAATCTAAGCATTCTTTTTTCTTCCCCAATTTTTTCTATCAAGTTTTTTCCATAAAAAAAAAATTTGTTTTTCTATTAAAACTTTTATTTTTTTATTTTTTTGGAAGAAAAGAAAGAAAAATGATGAAGAATAAAGAGCCCTAGTAAAATACCCTTTGGGGAAGAGGAAAGCTTTTGTTCAGACAAACTAAAACTTATTGTAACAAAAAAGAAAAATAGGACTTCTTGGCTATAAAGTGAATCTACTATTTTTATTTTTCGCTTAACTAAAATTATAACTTTAAGGGCCTACTTGATACTTTTAACTAAACAATAAGTTTAATTTAATCTAAAAAGGATATTTCAGTTGCAACTATTTTTCATCACTTCGAATACTGCAATCTGTCTGTTTGCACATTATCAACGCCAAAATGACAAATTTGTAATGAAAACACCAAGCTTATCAAGGAAAAATTCTTGTGCACAATTCATTCGTTTTTAAACGAAACTGTCAGTATATGTTGTAGTTTATTATTATTATTATTGTTTATCGATCAATTTATCAATAAAATCTCCTATAAATTTATTGATAAATTTATACACAAGTATGCTGAACAATGGACAAGTCACGCTTTAATTATTTTTTTATTGAACACTTGAAATTATCGCCATTATTGACATTTGAAAATAATTAGTGTAGATGTAGTAGTAATAATTGTTATTGTTGTTGTTGTTGTTATTGTTGCTATTGTTATTGGTTTTTTTAATTTAGTATAAATGTTATCGCTATATACTATTACAGTTATTGCTTATTTTAATACTATTTATTCCAGTTCTCGGGATAATAAATATTTAAAAATTCGCAGATAACGTATATGTTACAATAGGCAATCTGGGAAATGCGTTGCATACTGCAAACATGTTTCCTGCAATGCGTGCTGGTGGACTGCGTGCAGTGCAATAATTTAGTGCATTAATCGGAGAGAAGGTTGTTGGAATTGTTTCATCATTCTTGTTATTTGTAAGCTATTTATTGACTCGGTTGATTGATTTAGCTTAAGGTAATGCTGGCTAGTTTTTCGGTGTGAAACTTTGCTTATAATGAATCGAAGTATAAAGGAAGGGATGTACTATTAACCAAATAAGCGTTGTAGTTGTTCCATGTAATTGCTTTATGTTAGCTCTAATATTAAACCTTATCTGATGTTCTTGGATGATTCCTGAATCATTTCTACTGAATTTATTGAAATTGGTGATTAATGCTTTCGATACTGTTCTTTTATTTAAATAATAATGACCATTTCTACTTTGTCTAATATTTTGATTTGTACAATCTGTATATGTTGTTTTCAGATTGTTATTTATTCTCTCACATTCATCGGTAACGTGAAGAATGTTTCGTCAGGATCAGAAATTGTTCTTGAAAGCATATAAGGTTATAATTTCATAATTTCTACATGATATTCGATTTGAAACAGGAAAAAAAAGGATGTAATAAAGTTTATAACGCCAAATTGATATCTTGTAGGCACGATTCTTTGAGATTTATGATTAATTGCTATAGAAGTATAGTCTCGAAAATGACTGATTTCATTTCATGTTTCAAAAGATTCCTTGTTTTTTGTCAATTAGACTGAAGAATAGAATGAGGGCGTGTTGTTAAATGATTCTGTAGATTTCCAGTTCAATAGTGATACGATATTCTGGAAGTACTTCTCAGATTTTAATTTGATCGTCTTTATTGTTTCCTATAGGCTTTGGTACCAGCTATACGCAAACTAAGTCTTAAAGAACATCAAGGTATATCGCTGCTTAAACAGGCCGACATACCTGTTGCACCATTTGGTGTTTCTCGAAATGTTGATGAATTATATAATGAAGCTCGAAAAATTGGTATGTTTTCATGTATACAGAAACAGCGAAGTTTTATGTGAATATTAACCTCATATGGACAACACACAGGAATTACGCCATAATTTGGTGTAATTTCTACATTCCGTTCATCATAAATTAATGTTCTTCTTAAAAATTCTACTAACGTTAGTTACTGCTCAATTAGAAGAATACTGCCGTGAGATGACTTTCAAATTGTTCTTGAAAAGTATGCTGTAGTGAATTTTGTATTATTCAGCTGAATGCATTAGTTGAGATGAATGACTGTAATAATAATAAATTAATTATCAGCCTGTTATCAATCGTATACGTTGTTCAGTCATTGTAGTGTTGCAGGTGGTAAAGATCTCGTTATAAAAGCTCAAGTATTGACCGGTGGACGAGGAAAGGGATATTTTGAGTCAGGTTTGGAAGGTGGAGTACAACTGGTTTTTTCGTAAGTTCCTTCTTAACTTTTCTTTAGATTTTATTATTGTTTCATACTCTTAGTATACCATGCGAAATTTTCTAGTCCTGAAGAAGCACGTGAAAAGGCTTCAATGATGTTGGGTTCGAAAATTTTCACTAAACAAACAGGTGCATCTGGTAAACTTTGCGATGAAGTAATGGTTTGCAAACGATTGTTTACACGACGGGAATTCTACTTTTCTATTACAATGGATAGACATACCGGAGTAATTATATTATAAAGTTTGATTTTCTAAACACAAGCTTGATTTCTTTTTTATGTTTCATTTATCTTCCTTTAGCTGTCTTCTTTCGTTTCAGTTGAATATAACTTTTCAGTCCAACTTTGCGCATTTTTTTTTTTGGCGTCTTATTTCCCTTTATTCACGCCCTCCATTTTTGTTAATATTTTTCCTTTTTTTCTGAGCAAAACAGACATTATTACAGGGTCCAGTAGCTATAGGTTCATCAAAAGGAGGCGTTAACATTGAAGAAGTGGCAGCGAAAGATCCCAGTGCTATCGTCAAATGTCCAATCAATATATTTGAAGGCATGAAAGATGCAGAAGCCAGTTCAGTGGCAGATCGTATGGGTTTCAAGGTTTTTTTTCTGTTGTTTTTGAAGTCAGAAGGATATTTCTTTCTTTGGTTTCATTTATGCATAATCGAAGTAGAAGAATCCGCCAACAAATCAGAAACTCATTCTATACGTATGCCACATATGATTGGAAGCTCCGATATTGTTTATCCTGCCTAGGTCGCCACGACTACAAAAAGTTTTCAATACGAATGTGGAATAAAACCTGAGTATCCCGGATTATATTATTCCTTAACTAACTCTGATGTGGTGGAATGAAAATGATTGACTGAAATTTTCAGGATGATCTCCGAATACAAGCAGCGAACATTTTTAAAAAGTTATACAACTTATTTATTAAATATGATGCAACACTTATTGAAATCAACCCAATGGCGGAAGATATTAGTGGAAAACGTTAGTTTTTTAATCAAGTTTTGAATTTGTATCTTTGAGTTTTTAATGCGATGCTGTTCATAAAATTCATTGAGATTTTGCATTATGCTATTAGAAATAAAAGTTTTATGTCCGGCGAAATTTAACTACACCCTCCGTTAATGTTTGCAGTGATAACGGGTTTTTTTGATCGTTCATAGTGAATACAGACATACATACGTATGTTGTTACAGATCATTTTTGATTTATAAAAGTTTGATTTTTCGATAATCATAAGCAATCACATGATCTTCGCATATTATTTTCTCAGTTATATTGAAAATTGCTGCAGTGTATCTTCACAAAATCATTTAGTGCTAACGAGAAAACTCCAGATATGGAACACAAAGTAGTAGTTTTTCAGAAAAATGCTAAACGATTAGTTCAATCAAGCCAAATGATGTTATAAATTAGATGACATTGTTTTTGTCAAAATTCAAACCGTCTTTCATGTGCTTTAGTAAATAATTGCATTTTATTTCTTGTTGATCTCAGGAATTAATCTCTCCCATCACGTATTTGTTACCAGCTGTATTTATTTGTCTTTTTCTCAATCTTTTAATTTTCTAACTCCAGTCTGATAGCTATTATTATTACATTGGATAAAGCTGTCGATTTGTATCGATGAGAATGATCATTCGACTTAACTTCTCTTCTCATCTGTTTTTGATACTTCATGTATGGCTGAAGTAAGAAGCTAAATGCGAAAGCGAAGATCGATATCTATTTAAATTAATTTAATTGGATGAAATATTGAAATTACACTACTGGGATAAACTTAGTTGATCAAAGTTGAGTAAAAGTAGTGTTTAGATATCGAATTAAAATTAGCATTAAAAAGGATCATGTTTACATATCTAGTTATGGAAAGTTAGATTTAAAATGTGTTCATCTTGCATGTTTTTATTGTTATTTCAAGGGAAATAGTGTTTAGTTTACCTGTAAAATAAATCAAAAAAATAAAGCATCCAAATAATCTCAGAAATCTTCACCAAATCCCTTGTTAAATTCTTCTTTTTTAAAGTATATTGTTTGGATTGTAAGCTGAATATTGATTCAAATGCGAGTCATCGGCAAACAGAATTATTTGCTATGGAGGATCAACAGCAACAGGATCCTCTGGAATTGCGTGCAGCAAAAGCTGATCTTAATTATATTCGACTGGATGGTAACATTGGCTGTATGGGTAAGGTTTTTTGCATAATTTTGGTAATTATTTCTTTAGTGACTTAGAGGGTGGTAGGATTTTTAAAAATTTAAGTAACTTAGAGTGTTGTGGGGGTTTTGATATTTTAAGTACGAAATGTGCAACGAAATCATGCAAATTTCAGTGAATGGAGCTGGACTGGCAATGGCAACTATGGATATAATTAAGCTTCATGGTGGTGACCCAGCGAATTTTCTTGATGTTGGTGGTGGTGCTACCGTTGAGCAAGTTGCTGAAGCTTTTCGGATTATCACTGCAGATAAAGATAAAGTAGGAAGTTTTTTGCATTTCTAATTAAAAAGAAGACATTTTTCATCTACATTTTTCTTTTCCGAGAAATTTAATAGAACCAAAGGCAGTTTATAAGAAATCAATAGAAGTTATATTATAGTATTATCAAGTTTTCGTTTTGCATGTTTTTTTTTTTTTCAGGTTAATGCCATCCTTGTGAATATTTTTGGTGGAATCATGCGTTGTGACGTCATTGCGCAAGGTATGATCAACGCTGTCAATGAACTTCAGCTCAAGGTTCCCGTTGTTGTTCGGTTGCAAGGTTAACTTTTTTATCTACTTTTTTTCATCTTTTATATGCGAATAAATCATTGTGGATCAGGTTCTCTTTATAAATATGTTTGTTTTAGCTATATTTTTAGCTTTTAAATGATTTCATTTTATTTTATTTTTTTGTGTTTTAGCCCCTTCACATCATTTATATTCTCCTATATTTGTCTTTTGTGCACTTAAATTTACTAAGTTTGAAAAAGTGGAAAACAGAGGTGGTTTAACAAATAAGTTTGAATCCTGTGTAAACCAACCAGTGAGAAGAAAAAAATTTTTTTCTTCTTCAGGTACTCGTGTTGAAGATGCCAAAGCATTGATTGCAGCTGCGAACTTGCGAATGATTTCATGCGACGACTTAGATCAAGCTGCAAAAATGGTTGTAAAATTATCAGAAATAATTCAACTAGCACGATCCGTACCAGTTGATGTCTCTTTCCAGCTTCCTTCTTAAGTGTCACTTCTAGCAGAAAATGATACATAGTATGTTACATTAATATTAGTTTATTCTTTTCGTTCACTTTGTCGTTATATTTATAGATCTGTTAAGATAAGAATGTTGCCACCTTCTACAGTGATAATGTTTTTCTCGTGCAAATATTTTTTATGTTTTCTTTATACTCGATTAGAAAAGAAGTTGGTTTTTAAATAATTTCGTGTTAGCAGTAAATTTATGCATGAATATGAGTAGCATTATTGAGCTATTCAACTCGAAGTGGCATGAATCCTGTTTCCAAAAAATAAAATAAAAAGCGAATTCAGGAAGAATATTATCCATTATGGGGTTGTAATAATATGTTATGATTTTCATGTTTTTCAAATGGAATTTAGGAGTTTTTGTTTTTATTGAATTCGCATTGAATTGTCTGACAAAAACGTTTTTTTATCATTTTGACAACATTACCGAATTTACGGATAGTAATCTTTCAAATCTTTCATTAACAAGAAATCCAGTTTTTGTGTCCAGTAAAGTATTAATTTCCAATTTCTTTTTTTGTTTTCGACTGCGGTTTTATTTTTTTTTTCCTTTTTTCACCTAATTATTATACTATCTGTTCAGCAGTTCGTTGTTTTTTTTTCATTTACTTTTGTTCTTCTGAGTACCTCATTAATCAGCAAAAGCGATATTAATAAAAAATTTCACAGTAATGTAGTCTATCAGCTAATATTTCGTTATCATTTATTAACAGAATATTTTCATATCATATTATCATATTGGATAAAACTTCTCATTATAAAAAAGAAGAAAAGAAAAAAACAAACTTTTCATTCATTGTTTTTTCATTAAAAAAAAGTCATATTTGCTTTGTCAATAGTTCCTCGAAAATATGAAAATATTTATGCGCTATTAGTAATATTTGTGTTATATTAATGAAATTGACTATTTTCTTACTTCCTATATTTGTACTTATTCGATGGTTAAAAAAATTTTTTCCGAAGGTTATGCCTATCAATTATTTATTCATATGAAATAGTTGTGCTATCATCGGAAATGTTGAAACGAGTTTCATATGATTGTTTAATTATTCCCTGTTCGTATATTTCGAAGAATTGGTTGCAATAGCTCAAATTACCATTAAAATAAAAGTTAACTTACACTGTTGTCTTTTTTTTAATTATTAATATTTTGAAAAATCACTTAATGTTCAGTTTTATGCAATTGAAGCTCCTCAATCCCATTATTGTATCATATTTTTGTATGATATAGTCAACATGTACTTTGTTATGCATAAATATTTTTTAAAAAACATCAAGAATGTGATTTTTATTAGTTTAAAGTTAAGTTATTTTATTTTAAATGCCATTATCATCATCAGCTAATTTCTTTTATAGTAGGGAGAGGGCGACGAAGTTTGACATTGATATTATTTGTTTTTTGATGATCTTTTTTTATGAAATCTATTTTTCGGCTATTTAAAGTAATTTTTATTTGTGACCTATTTTTAGTTCGTTTTTCGTTTTCTTAATATATTTTTACTACACTGTCAATTTTACTACACATTACATTTAGTGTTGATATTTCAGATTAAGCAAGTGTGAATGTATAGTATTTCTGGCGTCAATTTGTTTATTTAACAGATGCGAGGTATAATGAAATTTTTGTGGCTTTCGTAATATTTAAAGTATACAAATAAATGATTTTAGCTTAATTTTTAATTCGGTGTCAAAATCATTGGTGAATAAAGATTGCCATGATGCATAATTGTTGCATATTATTTTTATCGACTGATATTTCTAATTTGAATTTATGATTATATTTTAGACATATTTTGCCACACAAAGTTTTTTTCCAAACTAAAATAAAATTTTTGTTGGTAATTTGAGAATAGTTTCTTACTAAGTATTAAGTATATTAAGTGCTTTCTTTACAGTTTGTAAAAAGAAAGAAGAAAGAGTAATAACTAATAATGTTAAAATAGGTAATCTTTTTCTACCTTTGCCACTTACCTCTTTTGTTCGCAACAAATTTCATTTCAACCTTCATCATTTTGACTGCAATTATAACCATTCCTAGTGAAAGCAAATTTATTTCGGTGTGGAAAACTTATTTCCTGAATTAATTTCAGGTGTTTTACGTCTAACATCATTCATTCGTCATACGAAACATTTTAAAAGTAATGGTTTATGGATTTCATTTTTCAATTTGAAGCACTCAGTGCCTAAAGTATATCTGTTGAAAGTAGTGAAAATGTCTAAATTAATTTTGCAATATTTAATAAGCTAATTTTTCTTTTTTTGTAATATTTGATAAGTTTACTATCATATTTCAACTATATTATAGTGAAGTATGATTTATGTTTAACTGAACTGAAATGTGATAGTAAGTTTATCACATATTAGAAGAAATATAATTATACGTTGATCAGTCTCAAAATACAGTATCTGGAAAAGTAGTTAAATTCATTTAGAGATGGATGGTTTCTTTTATTCATTTATCAAGTGAATAATTAAATAAACTAAACATGGTCGAGTTTTTTTCTTCATCTGTTATTGCAGTTAGATATTATGAGAGTGAGGAAAATTGTCAATAATAAAGTAATTGAGACATACTTATGAATGTTTTAATTTATCTAAGAAATATTTCGCTGGGATTGAGAATTAAGATGCTTAGTAATTCTTTTACAAAAAATGATCATTTAAGCTATTTTCATATTCATATCTAGGTTTAACAACTATGGCAACATTAAATGTAAAACAAGGGATCGATCCGGAGGTACAACTCTCCAAAGATACTCAGATTTTACTAATAGGGAAGAAGAAACTTCTCAAGGATATCAAATTTGATGGCAATATTATGGCGAAATTTTCGGGTTTCGTCACTTCTAAAACATGGGATTCATTAATGGAAACATTAGCTGATAATAGTTCAGCAGCAATACCACTTCATTTGAATTTAGCTACCGTTTGTTTTAAAACTATTTCCTTTTTCTTCTTTTTCAAATACTTTAATTTAATAACTTATTATGGTCATTTGTGACCTCTTTTTAATATGGTCATCTTATTTTTTTATGTATTGTTTATTTTTTCATTATGTATTATATTTTTATGATCATTATATCATATTATGGTCACTTTTGAGTTTTGTCTTTTTCTTTCTTTAATACAATTTTGTTTATTATTATTTTTGATTTTTCTTATAGTTATACGCTCTATAATACACATAAGCATATTTGTTACACTACACTACTTCTTGGATTACTGTTATAGTAAAATTAGGAAAAAAGGTGTAACTTTTATCTGAATGAATTGACACTAGAATGATGAAACAGACGGCACACACAGACATATGTGCACACAGTTTGATAATATACATCATTTCTGGAAAATTGTTTGATATTATAACTTATCAAAAGAAATAAAAATACTTAAATAAAAGTTGTAATAAAAACGTTCGATCAGTAATGACATAAAAAAGGCAACATTCTTATACTATTTATTGTATAACATTGTGAGTAAATTATACAATAGTATTTGATTGAATAAAATTATACAGGTTGAAAAATTGATCTCTTTTGAAAGAGTTTCATTCCATATTAAATTTCTTTACGAATTGAATTTGAATTTAAGGTTATTGCTGTGGGAGATGAATCCAGTCGACATAATGCTCCCTCAAATGCTTTATCGATTTTCAAAGAAGTTAAAAAGGCAGGTCAAGCAGATGGCATTAAGGTTAGATTTCCATACTTACATCTTTTTTGTCGTAATATTTTGTCTTAATTTCGTATCTCACTATATTATGAAACATATCTCAAGGAAGATTAAGTGAAGGGGAAATAATGAAGGAAAGGTATTAAAAGAAAAATGAAGTGCCAAGTAAAAACAAACCATTATTAAAGTGAAATTCGTGTAGCAAATCAGTCACATAGATAACGATTATTAGATAATAATCTAAATGAATAGTTTCTATGTTTAAGAAAAACTGTCTAATTGTTTTCTTATTTGAAACTATTCTTCTTCTATAACCCATCCATTTGTTATTTATTAATTTGACTTATCCATCATAAATTCTCTTTTCAAATGGAGGAAGAAAAATTTTCACCTTCTTTTTTCCCAAATTTATTTATTTTTTTCTAAATTTAAAGAAAAAAGTGTATTTTAGAATGTCTCGATTATTCTATATGCAATGTTAGCGGATATATTTCCAAGTGTTGCTGCAATAGCACGTTGTTATCCGCTTTATAGTCGATTTACCGAAAATATTATCAGTTTGGAAAATGTTCAAATTGAAATTGTTGTAACTGATGGCGAGGTAAAATTTACTCATTTTAAATTATATTTTTCTTTCTATTTCTTTTCCCTTTCTCTATTCTTATAAATATATCTGTAATTTATGATATTACAGTATATTAAGCATACTGACTTCTACTGACTTTTTTCAGTTTTATATGACATTCTTGGTTTATTAATGACTTTAGCTTTTAGAAAGCTCATTCAAGATCTGTCGCCTGTCTCTAAAACTCATTTAATTTTTTCTTCTTTTAATAAAACAGAGTTTTGTAGGCTTATTGTTTGGATTAGGATGGAATGTAACATTTACTATTTTTCACCTATTTTTCTTAATAACTTTTTTTATTAGTGTTATTATTATCATTATGCAGAAACTCACCAATCGTGATTTGCTGTTTCTCCAAACGTTAACAGAATCAATCCGAAACACTGCTCGCCTAATTGATATGCCACATAACGAGCTGAACACGGAACAATTTGTTGCTGAGGCTACTGAACTAATTTTAACACTTCCGAATATACAAAGTACCATTATTAAGGTTAATGATTTCTCTAATTTATCATACATTTATACATAACTTGAAACAAGCGATACGAAGTGATCAAACAATTGATATGACAATCTGCATATTTGTTTCGATTAATAATAAATTTCATATACAGCAATTCAGTAATATTACTAAAAAGAAATGCTCTTTGTTCTCGCTATTTAGTCGCTGAACTCTTTTACTTACCCCTTGTTTATTTTACAGTATTCACTATGGCTACCAATCTATGATTATTTGCCTTCCATACTTATCACTTCGAAATCTGACCCTTAAAAAAAAATCTTTTCCCTGTAATTTCTTTTCATAGTAATTTGTTGACACTAAGAGTATGAAAAGAGTATTTAAAAAAATGAGTCGACATTTAGTGTAAAATTTTTTAAATAGTAATACATCTGTACATATATGTAAAAATTATCGATAAAAACTTGATCGATCACTATAATTCATTTTTAATTAAATTTATTTCAAAAACATCTTAAACGTAATTTTTCCTAAATAAATTTCAGGGTAATGACTTGCTTGCAAAAGGTTTTGGAGGCATATATCATGTTGGTAAAGCATCTGCTTCACCACCAATTTTTGCATGCTTTAGCCATAAGCCACAAAATGCTACGAAAACATACGCTATGGTTGGGAAAGGTATAGTATATGATACAGGTGGTATGCAGATTAAAACGAAAACCCTAATGCCTGGTATATGTTTTACACTATGATTTTATTGTTACTTCTGAAATCCTAATATTAAATGCAAATGTTCAAGTGCATTATTATCATTTTACTAAGACTGATATTTATTCCTGAAATGAAATCAAAAGACAATTGATTAAAATGAATATTTTGCATTTAGTTTTAAATAATATTTGAAATATATGAAAAATATTTGAAAAATATATCATGGATGACTTTGGATAATTTAATTACTTGAAAAATTGTCGGAGTTTAATTCTGTATTTATATTTGAGTATTTTCGAAATTTTACTAATTCTAATTGGCTGAAGAATTTAACCACTACATTTTCCTATATTTCATGAAGAATAATGAGCAGCAAATTTAAAAGATTTAGTTATGCAAATTCTGTGGTGGTTAAAATATCATAGCATCTCAAGTCTTGTGTTTTGTTTTCAAAATAGTTGTTAAACGAAAGATGAAAGAGAGAGAAACATGAAGACCAAAGTTTCAAAATAAAAATAAATCTTAAATAGATAACTCGTATTTATTAGGTCTAATCAACTGTTCAAATAAATCAGATTAAATTTGATTGGAATGAATTTAAAAACATATTTTGTTTAATATGTTAATAAGATTGCATAGTTATTAGTTGATAGAATATTTATATAATAAAGAATATCTGATTGTATATCAAAATAATTATATAAGTTTCTAGAAAAAATAAAGGGATGATATGCCAAGTTATCAATATTATACCTTTATTTTAAGACTCTTTGTTTTACTAGTGATCGATCTAAAATGATTCAATATTTGATAAGTTTGGGAAAAGAAATATTTCTTCCAATTTCAGGTATGAAAAATGATATGGGTGGTGCAGCTGCTTTACTTGGCTCATTTTATACCTTGGTAAAATTAGGCTTCAAGCAAAATTTGCACTGTTTGCTATGCGTCGCAGATAATACTATTTCACATACTGCAAAGTATGTGATTTTTTTTTTCTAAGTGTTAAAGTGTGTAGTAGAAGTAAGCTGGTCTTTCTCCTTGATCTTGAGCAAATTCTAAATATTGAAGAAAGAACATTTTTGAGGCGAGTGATTTAAGTAAAAAATGATTTAAACTAATTTTTTGAAATAACTTAAAAGTGGTTCATAGCAGTTCAGGAGTAATAAAAGAAGTAATAGAAATGATAGTAAAAAAATAAGAGACGAAAAACGATAGAAATTGAAAGGTAATGAAAATCGGAAGTTATTTCAAAATATCTTAAGAACTAAGATTTGAAAATACACAAAAATGACTTATCGATAATAATTTTGTTGGTATCTTTTTCAAAAACTTTACTTATTCATTCTTTTTCTTTTAAATTCTGATTCTAGCCGTCCGGATGACATCATAACGATGTTAAGTGGTAAAACAGTTGAAATCACGAATACCGATGCTGAAGGTCGTTTAGTATTAGCTGATGGTGTTTATTATGCGAAAAATATGCTCAAAGTTCGTTTCCTAACTTACTTATAATGATTAAAGTTTAAAAAAAGAACTTTTTTTCAAGCTAAGCTTGAACTTATAGTTTCAGCTTACCTAAATAAAAGTTATTTAATTTGAGTTAGCGTTAAGGACTGAAATTAGCATTTTTTATGATCTGTAATGTTAAAAAGTTTCTTTTTTTTACAAAAAGCAACTAATCAAAAGAGACATAAGAAAATAGGATTACAAAAAAATCAAGATCTATTAGACTATTTAATTAACTTAATTTATGCTGATATGCTTACCTGTTGTAGGGTTTGAGGCTTTGCGATATTTTTTCCGTGAATTTAATTCCAGGCTGATACAATAATAGATATGGCGACGTTAACAGGTGCACAAGGACTTGCAACTGGAAAACTTCATGCTGCTGTATTAACTAATAGTGAAGAATGGGAGAATCGTGCTTGTAAAGCTGGACGAGCTAGTGGTGATCTTGTTCATCCATTACCGTTTTGTCCAGATTTACATTTTAGTGATCTGAAAAGTCCTGTAGCAGATATGCGAAATTCAACTTTTTCCAAAATGCAGGTGAAAAATTTTTTTCAGCATCAAAGAAGGGTAAATTTGACGATAATTAATTTAATTAGTAAATGTTTTTTTTTTGGAAACATTCTAGAAAGAAGTGATATAAATTTTAGCAATGAATTATTTTGTTACTACTTGAAACTATTATCACTGCTTCACTTTTTTTCTCTATTCGCTAATTATCATTCTGCTCAAAAGTAAACATTTGAAAATTTAGGGACCAGGAAGCTCAATTGCTGGTCTCTTTATTGCATCACACATTGATTTTGGAAGTGGCTTGGATTGGATACATTTTGACATTGCTTTTCCGGTAGAACATGGAAATCGTGCAACAGGTTATGGCCCAGCTTTGATATGCGCTCTTCTTGCATCTCATTTGGATGTACCACTGCTGAAAACTTTGCAATGAATAATAAAGTCAGCCTTACACATTGCATGTTTGTATTGCAGAATGAAAGAAACAATGAGCAGTTTGATTGATCTAATATCCAGTTTAACTTTTTCTCTTTTTTTTCCTTCTAATATTTCTTGTTTTTCTTCTCATAGCAATATCTCTTAGATTGAAAGTTAATCGAATTTTTGGTTTTCCCTAAACTGCTTTGCATTTTGTCTAGATTAAACTTCAGTGTGCAATGGTGACTTTGCGAAATGTTATGTAAAGTAATGGAATTTAAGAGTTCACGTTTTTGCTTCCACTGAATTTGAATGAAAATTTTACTGAGAATTTGTCTTCAAAAATTTTTTCCCTTCTTCCTTTCTCGAGAGGAAACAAGAAATAAGGAAAATTATAACCTTTGGTTTGTATCTTTGTTCAAATTAAATCCCAAACTTTTTCGTAATGATTACCATCTTCCTGAAATATAATGTAAGGTAAATATTTTATAATTTATTAGCGCAAAAAAATTTTTCTTTAATAGAAGGAGAAAAAAAATTTCATTGAATTAGCAAGCAATTTTGTTATAATAATTTAGCAAATTCTTATGAAAATTCAACTACCAAATTTACTTCATTTCAGAAAACACTATTACTTCATAATTATCTTGCTGTTCTAAGCAATTATATCATTTGTTGTCAGTGTTAACCATAAAATTTAAATTATTGAAATTGAAATTACAGTCCCGATCATATCGTATAAATAAGCCGGCATGATTGCCTGTTTGAACTAACTAGAGTTTTTTCCATCTGCTTCAATTTACTATTCAACAAAACCATCCTGCTGAGTTTTACATTTACACTTACACGAACAAAAAAATTGTTAATATCTTTGGAAGAATTTTTCACGATCTTCTAATGAACAAACTTTTGCTAAGCATTCTATTCACCAGGATTAAATATTCAATTTCCAGCCGTAACAAAGAGATGACACATTAAAGAAAGTGTTTCAAAAGAATACGCTGCTTCCAAAGGATTAAAATTAACAAAGTACTGTTAAAGTGACAAGGGATATTCTTTTCTCTCCGCTATAGAAATGGATACAGTGAAAAGTTTAACGATATGCTTCTTCAGCATAATCAGTATACCACTTTATACATGCGAAACACAAATGAAATAAGGACTAGGGAATTTGCTTATAAGAGATAAAAATAGAAAAGCATTTCATTTCTTACCTAAAAATTAAGAAACAATCGATTTTATAGACGATCACCTGGAAGATTTTATTCTCTGTACTAAATTTTGATCTTTGATCAGAACACAGTACATGATGTAACAAAGGAAATAAAAGTGAAAAATTCACGATCAAATAAAGGAAGAGAAATTCCTGTTGAAGTGATGTCCTTTTTCTGCTGAAGAAATTAAATGTATATGCAAAAGAACATACATATAAATGAATGCATGATTATAAAATTATTCGTGAAATTATTAGTTAAATTATTATGAAAAATGGTTTATGAAAGATGCTAAACTTACGCCATACTTTAACAGTCGTCTAATGAATTATTTATTTTATCTCTTTTTTTTTGGGAAAAAGTTTTTTGAAACATTTTCAAATAGTAAACTCACCATGTGATTTTTATGAAAGGATTGGATTGCATGTCTGATTTATGAGTTGCAAATATTGCAAATTAGAGCACAATTAACAAAATAATTTGAAATAAGATATGAAAAGTTGCAATAAGAACAAAAAAAGGAAGCTAAAATTACAATGTTGAGACTACCGAGTAATTTACTGTAAAAAAATGCGTTTAAAATATTTGTTAATTCTGCAAAAAACTGCAACTGCATCATTCTGATAGTTTCTGATGGAATCCGGAAATGGAATCGGTTAGTATAAAGCATTAACAATATTCAAAATGTAAAACTATTATATAAAATATTATTCAAAATGCATATTCTTCTTCTTTTGTTCTATAATTCAACAATTACTGTAAATTTCTTTTTTAAGTTTCATGTATAAGCTGCTCTTAAGTAAGTTAATAAATTCAATATAGATTGAATTAATCCGTAAGAAAGAGATTAAAGTAAGTTAAAAGTGATGCAAATCAAGCACAAATTACTATATCATTATATTATCAAATATAATGAACTAAGCATATAAGTTTTTATTCAATCAAAATTTCTTTAAAACTTCACACAACAACATCACATTGTAAAAAACGAAGGAGAAGAAAGGAGGAAAAAGTAATTTATATTAATTAAATTAGCATTCGTATACTGTTCTATTCAGTTAATTAAATATCTTGAAATTTCACAAGCAAATGACATTATCAGTTGGTAAAAATAAAAAGAAGAATTATCATACTTTCTGCGAAAGTGTGGTGATAATACTTATTATAAGTGCTTACTTTCTTGCATTTTGATAAACTTTAATAGTTAAATTTTGCAATCAATTTCAAGAGATTTTAAACATGATAAAAGTAGCAAAAGAATGCTCCCACATTCGACTCATTGGGAGATTCTAAATATGATGATAAAGTTATCAACATGATACAGTTCAACGATTTACATACATATTGATAAACTACAATAGACTAAATCATATCTTTAAATGATTCTCAAAATATTTAGTATTATGCAGAATTGAATGCTCTACTTAATTTATAAATTTTCAAAAAAAAAATTTCATAAACTCTTCCTTTTCCTTTAAAAAAAAGGCTTTTCTTTTTTTTAATCCATATATTTGCTTATTTCCATATATATATATATATATATATATATATATATATATATATATATATATATATATATATATATATATATATATATATATATATAATCCAATATATTTATTTCTTCTAATCCATTTTTTTTTTTTTTTTTAACATTTTTATTCCTACATTCGTATATTACATAAAATTACTCAAAATTAAAAAAATTCAAACTAAGGAAAATTTTTGTGAGTAATAAATACGAGAAAAAAAAATTACAAGAAACGGGTTTTATTTTTTTCATAAATACTAGTTAGCATGAAATTATTTCACTCTTAAAATTAAGAGATATTCAAATTTTACTAAAAAACTATAGCGAAATTGAGAGGATGAGATTAAGATTGTATTACAGATTAAGATTATGATAAAGATTAAGATATTAAAATTAATGATGTATTCATATAGAGATGTGAAAAAGAAAACAATTCAGATTATGATTTTGATGATTACGATATTGAGTTATTGGAATGATGCAAATTTTCATTCCAGAGTGTTTAAATCGTAGTGGTATTATTACATAGTAATGTTAAATTTAGCTTAACATTTAAATTTCATAAAACTTAGTATTACAAAGAAAAAATGAGAGTAAAACTCTTTTAATACTTCCAAACAATTCCATTACCATTTACAATGGCAATGAAATTAGGGATGAAATGAAATTGACAACAAGAATCAAACAGTAAACTGTGAAATATGAATTGATATATACATGTGTGTGTGTGTATAACAGTCTGTTTCGTCATTGTAGAGTCAATTCAAAAGTCACTCGTCCTTTCTTTTCGAGAATTTTTTGCATTTTTAAACTTTTTTTATTAATTAAATCATATAATAGACTTATCCTCAAATCAAGTTTGATTTAATTAACTTATTTTTTTCTTGATATTATTAAAGTAATTTCTTCCAATTTATCATTTCAATCACGAATCATTATGTTATTGCAATAAATATCTAAAATTCAGGAAAAGAAATTTTGTTTCTTTATCGATATGATAAAATTATCGATTGTCCTCTTAAATCAGTATATTAAATAATTATTCCCAAAAAAAAAGAATTTCTCCCATACTTATTATTTTAATATATCAATTGGCAATTTCACTAAATTATGCTCACACATCTCTGATATATTCATGCATAAAAAAAAGAAACCAATATATCAAATCTATACAGACCACATAATCAAAGTGACAAAAGACTTAAAAAAAGAGCAAGAGAGGAAAAGAAATGATATGGAAAAAAAAATTCATTTTGTTTGAAAAATTACGAATAATTTTGGCAGAAAAATTGGACACAAAGAGCAATAGGAATGGAAGAATCAAAATTGTAAAAGAAATTTTCCGTTTTATTACTTAAATACAATGAGAGAAAGAAAAAAAAAAGAGCAATTAAATTAAGGTGCGATACAGACGAAGAAGCAATTCAGTGAATCGTTCAATTTGTATAAAATTTTTCTCTTTTATGTTTGCTCTCTCCAAAAATTACTGACTATTTTTCTCCTTCACATTTCGATCATTCATTTATGCATACCATTTCACGACGAATGGTAGCAATTTTATGTTTCATTTCTTTCTTCCTTTTTTATCTTTGATAAAGCGAATGATAAGAAAATGAAAGAAATGATATTAATTTATGAAAAATAAAAAAGTTAAAAAATTAGTATTCATCCATCTTAAGATTTACTTAAATATAATTTATATTTGTATGACAATGAAATATTGATAAAATATTGGAATCAATTAAATCCATCCAATTATAAAATATTAAACAATTTTTACAACCAAAATGTTAGATACATAACAGTTTTTTATTCATTTAAAATACGAGAGTAAACTACTTAATAATTTAAGTTTAATGTTACTACTATAATTATCATAATTTTTTGTAAAAATGTTCAAATAGTTTTTCTGTTTCTTTTCATAGCATTCCAAGCCTTAAATTAGTAAACTGAAATAGGATGACTAGCAGAAGTATTGCAAATGATGAATGCACATTATTCTTATGCAAAATTGCAAAAGAAAAAATTCTTTTAACTAAAAACAAAGACAACTCAACATTGTATATCGAATTATTATTAGCAGCGAAAATAAGAAATTAAGTTAAAAACTTGAAAATCTTTCATAATAAAATTTGTGACATACTAATAAAGTTGTTGTCTGCATATCTTCATTTACCCATTTTTTATTTAGAACAAATCAGTGAAATTTTTATAATTGTCATTCTTTTTTTCACCATTATTGTCATAATTTATTGACATTCTCACTTTCTT